GGAATGAACCCCCCAAAGCCTGGCTGGGATTTTTTGCAGGGCTGGGCCCCTGGGATGGCATTTTGCGGCAAAACAGAAGGTCCCCCCGCCCCTTCGCGTGCCCGTCTCAGCCAAGCTTAGTTCCTGGGACATCGTGTTTCCTGGGATATTGTGGTCACTTGACATCAAACCATTTGCCCATTCAGCAGAAACCTTCCGTCCCATCCCCCTGGCTCTGCCTCGCCACGAGCGCGGGGATCCTGGGCTGGCGCTGGGCCAAGCGTGGGCCGTCGCCTGCGCGAGCCGGCGTCGATGGGGTCGAGGCGGCCCTCTAGTTCGCAGGGCCCTCAGCCAGCCAGGGCTCGACAATTTCCCTATCGTGACCAACCCTCTCAGCCAGGACTGACTCTTGCGCTTGAATAGCATCGTGGCGTTATTTGACGTCGGTCCATCTTGCTCCTTTGGCCATGGTGGCCTCTGTAAGCTTTCAACGTGATCCTGGTAGATGTGGTGGTCGCTGGCACAGTTGCTGCTTCATCTGGGCGCCCCCATTGGTGACAGCCAAGCCAGGCTGGATGCGGCGCTCGATAAGGGTTCCGTCATGGAGGGTGGGCTGGACAGGAACGGTCATTCTCTATCGGGTCTCAGGCCATATACCCACCCATTGATCTCGCCATTGCGGTACGCTAGGGGAGGGTGTGGAAGGCGCCTGCCAGAGTTGGGGTCATCGGCAAAACAGAACTGTGAGCCTCGTGGACGAATATGTGGCCAGCGAAGAGCAAACGTTGGATGGCGGATGTCAAAGCGAGCGTGGATGGTGGACTGGAGTGACAGGGTAACGGCCGGGGAAAGCACTGACAGCGCCTTAACTCCTGGCCGACCTACGGTACCTACCCCCCTAAGCTCCGCTGGCCGACCGACCGACCACCCCAGTCGACCCGCCCCAAGCTCCTTGGGAGGAGCCCCATAGCACCACCCTAGCGAACAGCAACGTACAGGGCAGCCACGCACACTGGACAGGCCTGGGTTGGAGCCTGGGTTCGATACAAAACCTTGGCATCCTCTCCTCCAACCACCACCTCCGCCATCCCGCCGGGCCCAGTTGGTCATCAGCTCCAAGCACCCTCTCTTCTCTCTGACCGAACTAAGGTAGACCGACTAGCAACTTCTACCACCCACCGCCGCAACCACCACCATCACGTTGCATCTTCTCCTCTCCACCTCTCCTCGCCGCTCTTCATCGTCTTCCCCTCTGTCAACTCGACCTTGCATCCTGCTCGGCTCTTACCAGGTTTCTTGACCCGACACATCATCTCAAACAGACAGACCGTCAGGTACTTATCTCCCACTCTCAGCTGCCTGATAAGCAAGCACCTGTCTTTGTCCCGCTGTGCGGTCATCGAGCGGGTCCTGCATCTTGTGTCTTGGTCTCACGGCCCCCTCCCACCCCCCGAACTCAACCTCTCACCACCCAATACCTTGGCTCTGAGCATGTCGGACAAGGCTGACGTAGAGACTTGATTCAGCTTCACCGCATCACCCGCATTCTCCGATCAAGCCCATCAACGTGCGCTCCCGACAGCAGCACCAATTCGTCATCGTGCCAACCGAGATCGCCGACTGCTGCTGATTGACGATAACTGCCAGCGACAACCGCCTTCCTTTTCAACCCGACCGAATTCATTTCGCATAGCCCAGCTCTTAGGCCACCCGCCTCCCGTTCCCGAAAACGGACGCCTCCGCTGGTCGCCGTTCCTCCCCCTCCACCCGCTTCCTGTCCGTCCTAGATCACATCTTCTACCCTCCCTAGGACCAGCCGGACAGGCACAGCGACGCAAATCATTCTTACCTCGCAGCAGTACTCTCTGATTCTGCATCATGGGCAACCAGCCTTCCAAGGATAAGGGCTCCAAGGATGGGCCAGACGACTTCAAGTCGTACCCGTCCTTCTCCCGATCCGACACGAAAGAGTCATCGCGCTCATTCCGGTCTCTGCGCTCCAAGATTACCAACAAGTCCACCGACAGCCCTCGAGCTTCCATGTCCGCCAATAACGACGACGCAGCTTCGGTCAAGTCAGGTAAGAGCGGCCGGTCGGCCACATCCCGCGGCAGCCGCCACGACTCCATCTCGTCGCCCATGAGCCCTGGTGGCGGCGGCGCCCTGAGCGAGCTCGACTCGCCCGTTGACGACCTCCAACCACCCCCGTCCCCCGTGCACCACACCCAGAAGGGCTTCCACGACGTCAGTGCGGCCCAGGCGTCCGGTGAGGTCGATCACGTCTCCGACCAGCCGCCCTGCGCCAGCGCCAGCCTCAACACCCATCTCCAAGCGCCTGGCAAGTCCATCCTCAGCAAGACCGATGGCGAGATCCCCATTACTGAGGCTGCGGTCGACGACAACACTCCGCAGGCCGATGCGCCTACGGGCGTCGCCATGGGCGAGATCAAAGACATGGATCTCGACGACTACATCAAGCGCCTGCTGGACGCAGCGTACGCCGGCAAGGTGACCAAGGGAGTCTGCCTTAAGAATGCCGAGATTGTCGCCATTTGCCAACGCGCTCGCGAGGTGCTCTTGACGCAACCCGCGCTGCTCGAGCTCGATGCCCCCGTCAAGATTGTCGGCGATGTCCACGGCCAGTACACCGACCTCATCCGCATGTTCGAGATGTGCGGCTTTCCGCCGTCTTCCAACTACCTCTTCCTCGGCGATTACGTCGACCGCGGCAAGCAGTCGCTTGAGACGATTCTGCTGCTTCTCTGCTACAAAGTCAAGTTCCCCGACAACTTTTTCCTCCTGCGCGGCAACCACGAGTGCGCCCACGTCACGCGCGTCTACGGCTTTCTATGACGAATGCAAACGCAGGTCCAACGTCAAGATCTGGAAACGTTCCTCGACTGCTTCAACACACTGCCCCATTGGCTGCCGTTGTCGCCAGGCAAGATCTTCTGGATGCACGGGGGCCTCTCGCCGGCACTGAACCACAGTGTATGAACATCGGGGAGATCGGCGACCAACCGAATTTCCTTGACTACGGTCTCCTTCACGGACTTTGTGTGGTTAACCTGGCCGAAATGGACAGTAACTGTCAAGCGATACGACCCCGCCGCCCATATAT